GGAAACTAATCAAGGAGAGAAGCAGCTTAGAACTGAGGAGAAATTTCCTGGCAGTGAGAACAATTCATCAGTGGAACAACTTGCCTCCAGAAGTTGTGAATGCTCCAACACTGGAGGTTTTTAAGAAGATGTTGTGTGACCATTTGTCTGAGGTGGTGTAGGGTTTCCTGCTTTAGCAGTGGGTTGGACTAGAAGCCCTCCAAGGTCCCTTCCAACTCTGTTATTCTATTCTAAAGTATATTTTACATTTCTTTACTCCTAAATGAGTAAACCATCTTCCCGATCATGGTGAGAAAAGCCAACAATATGAATAAACAAATAAACGAGAGACATCTCAGTCCTCTTCTTTCGTTGGCGGTGTGTGACTTGGAACCCTGAAACAGAGCAAAGAGAGGATTGGAGTGCTCCCCTATTGTATGAATTCCAAATGTCCCATTTCCTGCCAGTTCCGGGTGGAGAGAATAAAAAGCTAGCCGATAATAAAAAAAAAGGGATCCTTGATACTTTTGGTAAAAATAGAATTTAAATTGAGAAGGTGGGGGGATTGATTTTTGGAGCAAAAAAACCCCACCTCCCTGCTCGTCCATTGCTGTAAAGAACATTAGAAACCTAAGCTTACTTCATTTTAGGGGGATTAAAGCTAATTTCCACTACGACTGGCCAGAATTCTTAGCAGCTAAATTTGCTGCGCCCCTAATGTGCATAAATTTGAAATTTTGTGGGGATTAAGCAGGGAGGGTGAGGGGGAGCAAGGTATGTGCGAGGGAGAAGATCAGCAGCCTGAAAACACGTTTCCCCCCATTGTCTAATTAATAGGTTTAAAAAGTCATAAGACATCTGAAATACCTATTTTTTTCCCCCCATGTTCATATTTAACCATCTTACTTTTTGCTATTTCTGGGAAGATTACACCGAAAGAACAATAATACTGAAATCCTTCCCCGGAAAAGGGAAGAACCCTGGAAACAAGTGATTAAACAAGTGATTAAAAAGGAGGTGTGTGTGTGTGTGTCTGTGTGTGACTGTGTGTGTCTCTGTGTGTGTGTGTGTGTTTGTGTGTGCGCGCGCTCAAGTTGAGCCATTCCAGCCAAAATAGCAATAGCAATAGCGCTTAGACTTATATACCGCTTCGTAGTGCTTTCACAGCCCTCTCTAAGCGGTTTACAGAGTCAGCCTCTTGCCCCCAACAAT